ACACCAATATTGGGGTGGGGAAGGGGAGAGATGAGGAGAAAATTTGGAACTCGAAATCTTATGGAAGTGAATATTGGAAACTAAAATTAAATAAATAAAAATTTTTTAAAAGTTCAGCCCAGCTATAACTTGAGAAGGAGCCTCTTCTTAGGACTTGCTCAGACTATCTATATTCCTCCATCATATGCCTTGATTCAGCAAGAAATAGCAGAACATGGAGCTAAGTCTTTAACGTCATTCAAAAGTGAGTCTATCGTTAGTCAATGCCTTCACCATCTTGTCTCCAGCAATTTCAAAGCTTGCCACATCTAATTACTTAGGACTTACCTCTCCAGTCACTTGGGATTGAGTCTTTTGTTCACTCTGAACCAAGTGTCCCCCAAGTAAGGAGCTTACATCTGGTAGGGGAGATAAGCCACCTACAAGGTCAACTGCCCCTTGAGAGGTACAAAATACTTGTTCAAGGGAGGGAGAGAGGTGGAAGGGCTTCAAGGACGAGCCTGTTTATCTGCTGTCCCGATTTGGAGAGACTCAAAGCCAAAGGGTTGGCCACCAGGTGAGGGGCTTTTTATTGTGTTGTTTAAACATATCATCTCATTAATTTGTTTATGGAGGCTTGGAGGGTTTATGGGAGGAGTTGCATGGTCCTATGATCCATAAGCTATGGGGACCCCAGCCCCAGGTCAAGCCCTGATTCCAGACTCTGATCCTCTAATCACACTCTCCATTCCACATATTACTTCCTGTCATCCCCCCTACCCCATTTCCTATGGAAATACTACCTATATTTCAAGAACTAGCTAAAATGATGCTTTTGCCAGGAATTCTTCCGTGATTCTTTTCCACTCTAGCCCCTAAAATTCATGCAACAATGACTACTTAATATATGGAACACATTATGCTAAGAAGTGGGAGAGAGATGCTAATAAAAATAAGATATAATCTCTCCCCTCAAGGAATTCATATTCTATTGGGAGGAAACAACACACCCACACACATAATTAAATATAAAACACATATGCAATAACATAGGGAGGGAGAACATTATTAGTAACAGCAGAAGCTTAATGTAGGAGATGGTGTTTGAGCTGGACCTTGAAGGAAGCCAGGAATTCTCACCGGTGGAGGAAGAAAGGAAAGAAGGAAACAAACATTATTAAGCACCTACTAAGTGCTAGGTACCATGCTGGCACTTTATAAATATTATCTCATTTAATCTCCACAACAACCCTGGGAGGTAGGTGCTATTATTATCTCCATTTTATAGATAGGGAAATTAAGGTAGACAGATGTTAAGTGACTTGATCAGGGTCACACAACTAGAAAGTGTCTGAATCAGGATTTAAACTTAGGTCTTTCTGACTTGAGGCCTTAATGTTCTTTACACTAGACCACCTCAGTGAGGAAAGACTATATTTTAAGCTTGGGAAAACAACAATCTAAGTAATTAGGGAAAGCTTTGCAAAGGAAGCAGCATTTGAGATGGACCTAGAAGGAAGGGTAGGACTCTGAGAAAGGCTTCCAAGCACAGGGAACAGAGGAGGGCCAAAACTCTGAGGCTGGAGTCTAGGACAGCAATTGGATTGGAAAATAGAATACATGACGGGTATAGTGGGAGATAAGGTTGGAGAAGTAGGTTGCAGACAGACGGTAGAGGGACCGAATACCAGGCTAAGGACTTTGGATTGTATTCAGTAGGCAATAGGGGTTTCTAAGTATGGACAGAGCCATGAATGAGGAAATTAATTCCACAGTGGTGTGTAGAACAGATTGGAGGGGGAAGAGATTGGAAGGCAGGAGATCTGTGAAAAGGCAATAGTCAAGGCAGGAGTTAATGAACTACATTGAAAAAAGAAGAAATGGTCAGCCGGGGGAAGGATGCAAAAGCAATTCCGTACAGAAAGAAGCTACAGGACTTGGTGATTGATTTGATGTATGGGACCAAGGAGAGAGATGTCCAAGACGATGCTGAGGCTTCAAACCTAGATGACAGAAAGAATGATTGTGGCATTGACAGAGGAAAGGGAACTAGAGAGAGGAGTAGGTTTTGGGGGGAAAAGATATAATGGTCTTTTCCTCTGAGAGCTTTAAGCTGCATTTCTCTCATGCACTTTGGTGTTCCATTTTGTATTCTACAGTAGTTATTTGTGTACGTGTCATATCCTCTTATTAGCTCATGAGGGTAGAGATTAGGCATTATCTGTCTTTCTATCTCCTCCAGTGCCTGGCACAGTGCTCTGCAAATAGGAGGAATTATGAAAGCAAGCAGATGTCTTTTGTTGAAACTTGAGGGCGAATATCAGGTCGAATTACTTTGTTTGCTGGGTAATGGCTATCTCTTCCTATTCCTTTCCTTGTTTGGGAAGAGGGAAGGGAGCTACACCTAGTCATTAAGTACCTCCTGTCTGCAAACCCCTGTGCTGGGGCTACATAAATAAATATGATATGGATCCTACCCTCAGGGAGTATACAGTCAAACGGAAGGAAGGACAAGTAGATAAAGAACTAAGATACAAAAACTGCAACCCATGATCCAGGGCTCTAGCTTGAATAAACAAGGTTCAATATCAGGGCTGACTCCCAAAGAGGTCATTTCTCTTTTAGCCCATGGCTCTCTCCCAGAGTTATTCTAGGAAAATCTCCCAAGTACAGCTTGTGTCTAGGTATCCACAAATGTGGACAACAGGATCCTCAGCTTCCATACAAGTCTTGCTTATAAAAAAAAAAATTCATGTTAGGTATAAGGCAGTCTCAAAGAAAAAAAAACATTAACGCTATACTCTGAGTTTTAGGCAAAAGTCAACCAGTAACAATTTAATTCAATTTAACATGATTCTAAAACCAAGCATTTTTGCTCAGAGAGAGAAATGCCCACACAGCCATGATCCCCTACTATACCCTCAGACACATTTCTCTACTCCAAACTAATGGGAGGTAACATTTATAGGAATACTGAACAAGGAAATGGCTATAATATGTTAAATTACAGTTTTGGATTAAGGGGGAAGGAAATAAACATGTATATAGCATATATATATTTTACTGTGGGGTGAAATAAATGCTGCTTATGGAAGTATGTGTGTATATATATGTGTGTGTATGTATGTATATATAAATATATATACATATTTATACACATATATACACAGCGATGTGTATATATGTGTGTCTATAAATATTTATATATACACATATTTACATACATACTCACAGTGGTGAGTACATATGTATATGTGTATCTATATATGCATATCTATAGACACACACATGTAAAGATACTTCCACAACAGCATTTGTTTTATCTAGAACAATAATGTATGTATACAGATACATATACACATATGTGTAAGTGAATCTGCATATGTGTATTTTATATATATATATACACACATACTACATATATGTGCATGCAGGTGTGTATGTGTATATATCCACACATATAAAATATGATTGCAGGCACAGTGTTAAGCACTTAACAAATATTATCTCATTTGATCCTCACAACTACCCTGGGAGGTTGGTGTTATTATCCCCATTTTATAGTTTAGGAAACTGAGGCAAACAAAAATTAAGTGACTTGCCCAGGGTTATATAACTAGTATGCATCTGAGTCAGATTTTGAACTCAGGTCTTCTTGACTCAGGTGTAGCACTCAATCCACTAAGACACCTAGCTGCTCTTGGATTCAGTACCAATATTAATATCACAATTCTTTTCTTTCTGAATAACAGAAGATGGTATTTATCTGCCAGACCTATTGCCTCAGGGGATGGGGAACGCAAGGATCCAACCAAGACCGTCAGTATTTACTATGAGTCATTTATTAAGGGCCAGGCACTGTGCCCCTAATATACTAGGGGTGGAATGAAAGGGAGGCAGTCCCTACCCTCAGGGAGCTCATAGTCTAATGGGGGAGATGATACAAGCAAACTACTACGTATAAGCAAGATGTATACAGCATAAGTTGCAGAGCATGCAGAGCTAAGTGAGGTCTGGGAAGACTGGTAAGGTAGGAGGGGGCCAGGTTATGAAGGCTTTTAAAAGCCAAACAAAGGATGCTATGTTTGATCCAGGAGGTAATAGGGAGCCACTGAAGTTTATTGAATAGAAGGGTGAGATGGTCAGACCTACACTTTAAGGAAGTCTTAATCAAGACCAATTTGACAGTGAAGAGAAGGATAGACTGGAGTGGAGACATGGGGCAGATAGCAGCCTATTGCAGTAGTCCAGGTACGAGGTGATGAGGGTCTATATACGCCAGGGTGGTGTAGTGTCAGAGGAGAGAAAAAAGAATAGTTAAGAGATGTTACAAAGGCAAAACCAACAGGACTTGACCTGGATATGGGCTGTGAGAGAGAGGAAGGAGGTAAGGAAGACAACTATTTGGGAGCTTGGGTGACTGAAAGGAGGTGGTACCCTGGACAATACAGGCAAGTTAGGAAGAGGGGAGGGTAAGATAAGAAGTAAATACAGCTACAATCCTTAATCTATTTTAAATAGAAGAAAGCCTTCTACCTATTTTCCTAAAGGGAAAAGTTTGCAAGAGACTTAGACTAGAGAAATATTTATTTCTTAATATTTTTAGTTAAAAAGGAAATTTTAAATATGCTTCCAAAATAGCATTTATTTTACCCAACAGTAAATATGGAAAATGCAAAGACAGAGGAGCCATGCACTTATCCTAAAAACATGTAGCACACTCATAGTAGTTCTCTCCAGAAGAGATTCAACTTGGGGTTGTCATTGTGATCCCTTTGGCATCCTGGTCAGTCTCTAGATTTTCCATTCTGTTAATGCCCCCTGTGGTTTGGATTTCCCCAGAAAGCAAATATACTTTGAAATGGCTGGATAGACAACCCCCTATACCAGGAGAGGGGAACCTTTGGCCTTGAGGCCACACATGGCCCTCTAGGTTCTCAAGTGCAGTCCTTTAACTGAATCCAAACTTCACAGGATTTGTTTTGTAAAATTTGGACTCAGTCAAAAGGCCGTACCCAAGGACCTCGGAGGCCACATGTGGCCTTGAGGTCACAGGTTCCCCACCCCCGCATACCAATAACTGAATCATTCCTGGGAATAGAAGGTGTGGTAAAGTTATAACCCTCAGGTCATGGCTTTAACCCCTCCTGTTCCTCTGGTTGCAGGGGCCATGTGGGCAATCCTCTTCTTTCTCTAGGATACACAGTGGTTAGGAAATCATCTCTCTCAGAAGCTCAGATAGCCAAACTTTCAAGCTTGGGTATACTAACAAGGCAGTCTCTAAGACCTGTGTTGATCAAGAAATCTCTGGATAAAAAGCCTAGATTCTGAGATCCTGCTGCCTAGGAAATCTCCCTTGTCTGGCTGAATTCTAGGACTCTTGAAATTGGGAACTATTCTCAATGCAGATGCCAAGGCTGCCCAATACTCCCTTTTATGGCAAGAGGGCTAGATTTTAGGACAATTTGATACAGGAAAATCCTCTTCTTTAAGTAGAAGAAAAGATTCCAAGAATCTAGAACTTGGGGCCACTCATGAGGCAACTTCTAAGACTGTCCTCGTCCAAGTCATCTTCCTTCTCTGGCTAGACGACTAGGCTCCAGAATCAGATTTAATGTCCAAGAAAGCTAAACAGAGGGTTATATATTTGATCCTGAAGGAATAGGGCACCACTGGAGTTTACTGAATTGGGGCTGACATGGTCAGATCTGTGCTTTAGAAAAGATCACTTTGGCAGCTAAGTGGAGTGGGGAGAGACTTGAGGCAGGGCCTACAACTAGAAAGCTATTGGAGATGAGAGGCGATGAAGACCTGGACCAGGAAGGCGGTTGTGTGAGTGGCACAAGGGAACATATATGAGAGATGTTGTAGAAGTAGAAATAAAGAGCTTGGCAACAGATTGGATATGTGATATCAATCCAAGTTGAGGAGGAGAGGAGTTGTGAGCCTTGGTGACCGGGAATGGTAGTGCTTTAAGATAGCAATAGGAAATTAGGAAGAGAAAAAGGTCTGGGAAGAAACATAATGAGTTCTGTTTTGGAGAAACAGATATGTTGAGTTTGAGACGTTTATAGAACATCCAGTCAGGGATATCCAATAAGCAGCTGGCGACAGGAAACTGGAGGTCAGGAGAGAGGGTAGGGCTGGATGAACAGATCTGAGAATCATCTGTAAAAAAAATCATCTGTATAAATGATGAGGATTCAATGTTAATTGAATCTATGGGATCTGATGAGAGCACTAAATGAAACAGTATGGAGGAAGAAGAGAAAAGGGACTAGGGTTTTGGGGGATATCCCCCCTTTATCGAGCATGACCTGGATGAAGATCCAGCAAAAAGGAACTGAGGAGGAGTGGTCAGACAGGTAGAAGGAGAAACAGGAGGCAGCTGTGCCACAAAAACCCAAAAAGAAGAAAGTATCAAGAAGGGGGTGATGGACAGGGTTAAAGGTAATAGAAAAGTCAAGGAAGACGAAAATTAAGGAAAAAATTTCAACAGATTTGGTAATTAAGAGAACCCCAGTAACTTCAGAGAGAGCTTTTTCAGCTAAATGATGAGGTTGGAAGCTGGATTGTAGAGTTGAAAAGAGTGAGATGAAAGGGAGTCAAGGCAGCAATTATAACCAGCTTTCTTGAGAAGGTAAACCAGGAAAGGGAAGAAAGATATAGGATGGTAGCAAGAGGGGGTGGGCAAATCAAGTGATGGTTTTTTGTTTTGTTTTGTTTTAAGAATGGGAGAGACATGGGCTTTGTTTGTAGGCAGCAGGGAAATAGCCAGTAGACAACAAGAGATTGAAGATTAGTAAGAAAAGAGTTGGAAATCTGCTGAAGATGGGCTGGAATGAGATCATATGTGCAGACAGAGGTGTTTGCTTTGGCAAAATTTGAACTGAGCTTTGAAGAAAAAGAGGGACCTTCAACAGATAGCAAGGGACATGGATCAGATGGAGAGGATAGGGTGGAGAGGACATCCACTCTAGGCATCGGGGACAATGTGAGCAAAAGTGAAGGGACAAGAGAGGTAAGGATAAGAAAGCGGAGCACAGTGGACTAGTTTGGCTATGTTTTAAGAGGAGAAGCGTAAGAAAAGCTAGACATGTTGGAACTGGATCATGGATAGCCTTGTGTGTCAGAGTAAGAAGCTTTTAAAAAATTATTCCTCCTCCTCCTCCAAGATTCCTCATGCTGGTGGGGAGGTAAACCTGGCCTCTGGAGGGCTATACCAGGGGAAAGCATGTTCCAACAGGTCCTTCCCAGTTGGAAGGGCTTTGAGGACAAGGCTTTAAAGCAGAATGTCTAAGCCTGCTGTCTAAGGACCAACCCGGCTAAATTTGGAGAGGCTCCTTGCCTCAAACTTGGTAACCAAGTGGGGAGGATTTTTTTTTACAACTACATCACCTTACTAAACTTGCAAAATTAAAGCATGGAAAGTTTGTGATATGAATTAATAGAACTAATACCCACAGCGATGAAAGCATGGACCCTTAAAATATGTGGGAAAGTATTAGTCAGCTATTAGTCAAGGGATTAAGTAGGAATGTGGGTAGATCACCCAAAGGCAGCCTGCAATCAATCAGGAAACTTCCAGAAAGTGGGTCCTGGGGTGGTGGAAAAGCAAGCTTTCTTCTCCAGAGAAAGTACTCAGGTGAATCCCAAATCAGTCTGGAGGGGCTCCGGTGCTAGGAAGATACTACTGTTCTTGGGGGATCCTGCCAGAGAGGAATATACTTGGGCTTTAAGACTAGAGAGATCCATGGGGCCAAGCTGGGCTCAGAAGCATTAGTGAGAAACAATACCTTATTATTGGAGTTCTTTACCTGGGGTCCGTGAATATAAAATATATGTATACACACATATGCATACGTTTTATATATACATACACACATTATATATACACATACATACATATAAATTCTACTTCAATACTGTTTTGCAACCCTACAGATTTCCTTATATGCATTTAAAAACATAATTCTGAGACGGTGTCACCAGGCTGCCAGTGGTGTCCAGTATACAAAAAAGGTTAAAAAGTTTAATTATATATAGTCTTAAAGAATTGTTTCAGGCTCAGGAATTTTAAGCGACTTACCCTTTGTAGCACAGCTAATAAGTCTCAGAGGTGGGATCTAAATCTAGGTCTTTCTGATTTCTGATACAACATTTTTCCCACTGGGTCACTCAGCCTCTTAGAGCAAATGGGTATAATAATACTTGCACCGTCTGCTTCAGGGTTGCTGTGCAAAAAGTACATTGTCAATCTTTAAAATGCTGTAGAAACTTGAGCCATTTTTAAGAAGGGCATCTTGGCCTACTGGATTTACAATTTTGGATTTGGAATCAGAAACCTTGGGTTTCAGTCCTGGCGATATCATTATTTGATACTAAGTACACTTTCTGAACCTCATTTCCTCATCTCCAAAATGGGTATCAGACTAGGTACTTAATGTTTGTTTGAGCTGACTATTTACCTTACTTACCTCACTGGGAGGTGAGGAAAATGCTCTGCAAACCTTAAAGAGTGATTTAAAAAAAATGAGTTAATAGTTTGGGAAATCTGAATACCATCTACACTACTGCTGGGTGGTTTTCTTCTATCCGTAGCCTTGAAGGCAATGCAGTGTGGCACACTGGAAAGGGCATTGGATTTGGAGACGGAAGACCTGGGTTGTTTGTTGTTGTTGGGGGTTTTTTTAAAATAAATTTTTATTGATGATTTGGCTTCTTACATATGTAGTTTTCCCCAGTATCCTTACCCTGCTCCCAAATTCCACAGAGCCATCCCTTATAACAAATAGTTTTTAAAGATCAAAAAGAGGGAAAAATCAGCTTAATTGATCAATATATTAGAAAAGTCTGAAAATAAGTACTATGTACATCCCTTATGGACCTCCCCCCTCTGAAAGGATTTGGAATGAGACTGTCTTCTCATCTCTTCTTTCAAAAAGTACTTGTTCTTTATAATTTTGTAGAATTCCTTTTTTTGGTGGTTCTTTCCGTTTATATTTTTGTAGCATTTTAGTATATTCTTGGCTCTGCTTACTTCACTCTTTGTCAGTTCATACATTCATGTTCCCTGCCTCTTTGTATCATCATTTCTTACAGCACAGTAATATTCCATTACATTCCTGCACCATAATTTGTTTAGCTATTTCCCAGTTGATGGGCATCTAAAAAGACCTGGGTTTGGAATCACTGCCCTGCAACCTGCTTCCTCTGACTTTGGGGAGGTCACTGCATCCCAGTTTCCACATCAGGAAAATGAGGAGGTTGGATGACATTCTCTAGGAGCATCCTTATCCTTGCTATTCGTGTAGCAAATTGCTTGTGAGCAAAAACAAAGAGCTTTCTTGTGGTCTGGCTTGTGTGATCACATTTTTGGGGGGGGAGGAAAGAGGAAATGAGGGTGCTGGTTTTAAGAACAGCAGCTCAGTGACAACAACAGGAGGAAGTAGGCAGGTAACTAGCCAGCGGGTGTGGCGGATCTCTGTACGCAGAGAGCAGACTCGGGCATCAGAAGAGGCAGGAGCCTAGCTGCCTTTAGCTAGCTTGGGTTTAGGAGCCAATGAAGTTTAGAAAGCAGTAACAGGATAGGCTGGGACCCAGGGCAAAGTCCCTTGGGTCAGCTCCAATGTCCCTGGAAACAGACCTCCTCTGTCTTTGGCTCGAAGGCAGCTGATAAATATTGAGTATAACTGAATTAATGGGAAGAACATTGGCAATGAGTAGTCAGCAGGCCTTAGCCTAAAGCCCTTCCTGCTCCACTTGCTAGCTGTGTGACTTTGAAAAATCATTCAGCCTCTCTGAACCTCGTGTCCATCATCAATAAAACGGGGACTGAATCACTAGGCTACTTGGCTCCCACCATAAAATCCCAAAGGCCTGCATTTCTGGTCCTCACCCCCATCGGATTCAGCCAAGTTCTGGGATGGGGCGTGGAGGCAGGTCCTACTCACCCCACCTAGAACAACCCAAGCACAGACCGGGGGGGGGGGGGGAGAGAGAGGAGGAGTGTGCGCATGCGCACAGCGGGAAAGCCGGAGGAGGCAAGAAGAGAGGAATGCACCGCAGCCCGAGGCCTTCTTCGTACATGCGCAGTATCGGCGAAGTCTTGGTCTCCGAAGCGACAGGGGGCGCAGTGCAGAATTCCCTTCCGCGGCCCCGCCTCCTTTGGTGGCGGTTGGAATTTGAATCCTGGCCGGTCCGGGTACCTGTGGCATTTGGAGTAGAGGGGTGAGCTCGCGCCTGACGTGGGAGCGTGCAGGAGCGGGGAGATAGGGGGTCTCTTCTTCCCGGTGACCAAGTGCCCCCTCCCTGGGGGTGGGGGAGGAGGGTTGTTACTGTTTCCAAAGTGGTCCTATCCGGCCCAACCCCGCCCCCCATGTGGAGCTCGGGCCCGCGGTGCCCGGTGCGGGAGCAGCGGGCCCGCTGGGAGAGGAAGCGAGGCCGCACGGCGCTGGAGCTGCTGGAGACGGAGCAGCGCTACGAGAAGCAGCTGGGGCTGGTGGCTCAGGTGCGCGGGGGCGCGCGGGCCGGGGCGGGGGAGCATCGGGAGGATCCCTGGCCCGGGCCGTGCTTGGGGCGGCGCCCGCGCTTGGCCGACCTGTGCCTGGTCTGGTCCGCCCCCTCCTCCCTCTCCCTGGCTGGGAGACGTGTGCCCACCCCGCGCCTCTCCCTCTCCCTCCTCAGTACTTTTTGTGCATTTTGAGAGCTAAAGGGACCCTGCGACCAGCTGAGCTTCAGGCTGTGTTTGGCCCCTGGGAATCCATCCATGCTGCCAGCCAGTGAGTAAGGGCAGAAAGGATGTTTGTGGGAGGACGGTGGGATGGAGGTGTGCCTGGGGGAAGGCAGAGTCTGTGTTGTCCCATCTGCAGAAAGCTGCTTCTGCATCTGGAGGCTGGAAATTGGGGGGCAGGCCTAGAGAGATTCTGTCACCACCTGGAGCTCTACACTTGCTTTGCTGCCAACGAGGAGCAATCTAGGGCCACTCTCCAGGTACTCTCGATTTCTCAGAGAGGTATTCCCACTTTGGGCATTTGTCCATTCTTTATTTTCTTTCTTTTTTAAAATTTGCACAGAGTCACACAGCTAGTGTTAAGTGTCAGAGGCTGAATTTGAACTCAGGTCCTCCTGACTCCAAGGCCAGAGCTCTGTTTACTGCACCACCTAGCTGCCCTTTTATTTTCTTTCAATACATATTGTGCATCTACTGTTATGTGCTACACCTAGTAGAATCAGACAAGACCCTTGTCCCAGAAAATGAATAGTCTGGATAGATTAGCTATGTGCAACAAGTAAATGTAAAAGCTGCATGAATACCAATCTGTGACCCTCTTACTGCTTTTTTTGTATCCCAAACCCCACCTGAACTTAGAAGTGGCTAAGGAAGAAGCATTTCAGAAAGTTTGTACAGCTTCAGGAGGGGCGTCCTGAGTTTGGGGGCCTTCGGCTACTGGATCTGCTTCCCTTACCACTGAAACGTCTCCAACAGTAAGTGACCCTCAGATTCCACCTTGTTCCCTGCTGTGATGCTGACTTACGTTCACTGACCCTTACCTAAGTTCTGCACAAGTATTTGTATTCTTCAGATCCATACCTTCTACTGGGAAGTGATCCTGACTAAGGTCAAGGTGAGGTGGATAGTGCTGGGCTTAAATCAGTAACACCAGTGTTTGGAATTCTGTCTCAGATACTGCCTATGACTCTGGGCAAGTCACTTAATCCCCCTTGGCCTCAGTTTCCAACTCTATAAAATAGGAATGATACCGGTAGTACATACTGATTGGGGTTGTTGTAAAGATCAAATAAAATAAAGTATGCAAAGTGTTTTTTAAATCTCAAGCACTAGAAAAAGGTCAGCTATTATTATTAAGACTAGGTTCAGGGGGCAGCTAGGTGTCGCAGTGGATAGAGCACCCACCGTGGAGTCAGGAGGACCTGAGTTCAAATGCAGCCTCAAGACACTTAACTAGCTGTGTGACCCTGGGCAAGTCACTTAACCCCATTGCAAAGAAGAAAAAAAAAAGACTACGTTCAGCCACTTGCTTCCCTTTTCATAAACTCTCTTTGTCCTTAGGGAATATGAACAAGATTATGACTTAAGTAACCCCAGGGAAGTAAGGGCTAGTGATATGTAGTCCTTTGTAGAATTCTCCCTATATTCATTCCCTCTCCCCATAGCTCAGTAAATATCTCTGAAATTCCATCTTGGTTACTTGTGGTCTCCTGAGGTTTCAGTCAGGGAAATGGGGAAAGAGTGCCCTCTAGTCCTGGATGGAAGAACAAGGTTTGAGGACATACTCTGAGCTACAGATTGGTGTAGGAATAGAGAAAGTAAAGGAAGCTTCAAGCCAGAGCTGCAAGAAACCAATCCCTTCTGAGCCAGGAAATGCAAAACCCAGATGTGTCAGTAACACTATGCTTCGTGGGAAGGGGGCACTCTGAATAATGGATGATTTTCCCAGGCTTAGTTGGGACTAATATTCCTAAAGCCTCAGTCTATTTGTGTTTCAGATATGAAAACCTGGTTGTAGCTTTGGCTGAAAATACAGGTCCTGACAGTTCTGACTATCAACAGCTCACAAGTATGTTTGCCCTGAGCCAACATCATTAATATATTCCAGACTCTAAAGCTGGCCCCACAATTAGAACCCTGATCTTTAGTCTCATTTTTCCTTCTCTTCTTTGCTTAATACCTTGTTTCCAGTTGCTTTATTAATCAAATGACATTTTTTGGGGGGGGTGTTATCATTTTAGGGGCTGCTGAGAAGTTGAGTGAGGTCACCCAGCAGGTTAGTGCTATTGGTCGAGAACATGAGAATGGCCGGCAGCTCCATCGTATTCAGACTTTACTCAGTGGCCATCGGGCTAAAGGTCTGACCAAAGGTCAGAGAGCTCTAACCCCCTACCCCACTGGTACCTCTGTTCCACACAGGCCTATAGGACTCTTCCCAACATCTCAAAATTATTTTTAGGGAAGTAGCACATAACCCAGTGTCATTCCTGGTCTTTGTGAATGATGCTAACCACCTTTCTCTCTCTCTCTCTCTCTCTCTCTCTCTCTCTCCTCTCTCTCTCTCTCTCTCTCTCTCACTACCACAGGGCGCTGGTTCCTTCGGCAGGGCTGGCTACTAGTGGTCCCTCCTAAGGGGGAGCCAAAGTCTCGAATGTTCTTCCTCTTCTCTGATGCGCTTTTGATGGCCAAGCCCCGGTCTGTCCTACATATCCTGCATGGAGGGACCTTTGTTTGTCAGGCCCTTTATCCCATGGCCCAATGTCAGCTCCAGAGGATCTTTGGTCACTCGGGGGCAACAGGGGGTGGCCTACTCAGTGTAAGTCATGAGACTGGGCTCGGGGGTAGGGAGCCTGTTCCCTGGGTAAGCCCACAATTCTTTTATTCCCAGTCTCTAGATCAGGCCCACAACTACCCCCTCCCCCAAAATAAATGTTAAACAGCTGCTCTTTAAAAAAAAACAAACCAAAAACATATGCATGACACACTTTTGAGTTTAATCTGCAGCATTATTAACATCCATCACTTTAAGTCTAGACAATCAACAGAACAATAAGTCAAGCCCCAATTTGTAGAGGGCACACTATGGCCAATCTGACAATCCTACAAGACAGAGATAGGGCCCCAGACTTCCCTGAGTAACATATTTAGAACCATCTTTAGGAATTTCTTTTAAAACTTAGACACTGTATAGGAGCACTGAACAAGGAGTCAGGAGACCTGGGCTTCAGTCCCACTTCTGCCATTAGCTAGCCACTCTGAACCTCAGTTTCCCCATTTGTAAAATTAGGGGACTGGACTAGACAAACTTTAAGGATGCTTCCAGCTCACAGACTCAGACTGCACCCCCTGAGTACTCCTTCCCCTAAGTCTTCTCCAGGGATTAAGGAAAAAGGTCCTTTCCATATAGCTCAGACCTTGACTCTGTCTGCTACCACCACTAAGCTCTGTAAGTGACAGTCAGTGTGGTTCAATGGATAGAGAGCTAGCTTTTGAACCAGTAACACCTGGCTTCAGGTCCCAACTCTGACCCACACATACATATACAGATGACTGGGCAAATCACTGTAGTACCCTTGACCAAGGGATGGCAAATGGATTGCCTTCTGTTTTTGTACTGCTGTAAGCTAAGAATGGTCTTTACAGTTTAAAATACAAGTTTTAGAAAAGGCCATGGGTTATAATTTGCTTTAGACAACTCTGTAAATTGTAGAGAAGGTACAGACCTCTCTTGGAGGTTCCCTCTTTCAGTAGTATCGCAAGTCCAGTCCCTATCCCCATCCTTAACTGCATCTACATAACCATCCTTTCCCCTGGATAGTAGCACCTTCTGCTTCAGGACTGCCTTTTCTGAGGAGGCAACTTAGATGTTCTTTCCTGCCCCCAGCTTTCTTTTCCCCATGAAAAGTTGCTGCTCATGTCTACGGACCAAGAGGCACTATCCCATTGGTACCACAGTCTGACCATAGCCATCAGGTATGCCTTGAATCTCCCCTGGTTCTAAGGATTGATTTCGTGATGTGCAGCTACTGTCTTTCCCCTCACCATTTATGTACTCTACCTTTCTCAGGCTCCCAGTGTTTTCATTCAAACTGGGGATATGGCTCACTTAGTATTCTTTCTCTACAGCAGCCACACTAGGTAGAAGAGCACCTTACAGCTGTTTCCAGTTAGATATGGGAAGTCTGACTGCTTTGAAGCTTCAGCATCACTAGAATGTGTGGCTGGCCACTATCTTGTGGTAAAGAATATGGTGACGTGTGTATGATATGTATATTTATATTTGATTGAGCACATTTATGTTTGAGCACAAATGTTTTGGATGATCAAGTTGTATACTTAAATGGAATAAATTTTATTTTTAATAAAATGTCTTGGCTCCTTGAAGAGAACCTACTTCCTCAAATCTGAGCTTTGATTCCTTACCGGGTTTTCTAAAACTGATACCATTCCCTTAACTCATGAGGTTTTGTCTTACACCCTCTCTCAGTGTGTGACTTGTGTCCCTTCAATCCATTTCCTCCTCCTGAGCTCCCACGCCTTCCCATGTTCCCCAAATTGGCCCCAGGAGCCATTTGGAGCCCAGGCCTCAGTTACTCCCTCCTTTGGTTCCTCCCTCCAGCCCCTGGTCTGAAGGTCACTGTCATCATCTTCCTCAGCACTCGGGTCCTCATGGATAAGGGGACTGTACTCTGTGTGTGGAGGGGAAGGGGGTAGCATGAGTCCTCAAATCAGATAACATCAGACACCAAACATCTGATATTCTACTCCAAGGGCCCCTACCTTGAGAAGCAAGAGTGGTGTCCAGCCCTTTGTCCTTTAACAGCTGGCTGATGGTGTGAAGCCTCAGGGTTAGCAGGTCCTGCTGGGCTCCGGCCAGAGCGTCCACACTGCAGAGATGCCCAGTCAGGCCTCCTACCTGCTTTCTTCCATTGCCCTTGCTGCCACCCTCATCTCAACCTGGACCCACCAGCTCTCACCGTTCAAACAGAGGGTCCAGCTGGTCCAGCACACCACCCAGGAGCTGCTCCGTCTTGGCCAGTTCTTGAGCCAGCTGCTCTTCTGGGGGATATAAGAAACGGCATTTACCACCGGATTTAGGGCATCGGAGGCAGAAGCCCCTGACCATCCCCCCGGCCCGGCCCTCACCTCTGCGCAGAAGCTCCTTCTCGGCGGACTTGTCCTCCGAGGAAACTTCGGCCTCCTCTTGTCCCTAAAACGAGGCAGGGCGGCTCGGTTCCCCCAGCACACCACTCCCGGGGGCCTGCGCCGCCCCCCGGCCCAGGCGGATCTCGCCGCGGGGCTCCCCTCCCGGCGCCGGCCCAGCCCCGTCCCGGCCCCGGCACCTGCAGACACCGGCGCAGCACGAAGGCCAGGATGCCCACGGCGTACAAGGCTCCCAGGGGCAGCGGCCCCCACGCCCGGCCCGCCGCCCGCGGCTCCTCCAGCGTCCTCCGCAGCCCGTCTCGGGCTGGCTCCCCTGCAGAGTGAGTCCACAGTCGGGGTCACGACGGGAGAGTGGCTCCGGGAGGTCCCAGCCTCCGCCCGCGCCCCTTCCCTCCCCTCCTCCCGCCGCCCATTACCTGCGGGGGGCCGCGACCCGGCGCCGCCCTCGAAGACCCGGAGTGCTGCCGACATGACAAGCAGCGCCAGGGCGGCCGGCAGTAGCACGGGGCCGCAGGGCCCCGGGGCCCGCATGTCAGAGTGCGGCGCGAGCCGGAACCCGCAGGCCACCAGCGCGGGGGGCAGACGGATGACGCAGCCTGTGACGACACACGTATGTGCGCCTAGCTGACCCCGCCCATAACAACGCAGCGAGCTCAGGAAGAGGGTGGCTAACGCATTCATTTACATAATATATTCACCTAACTCGTCACCGAGTGCATGTTGGACTCCTTTCTCTCTCAAATTCTCCTGGGGTATTGTTTCTTTCGATAACTTTTTCGCGATAAGCTACTTTTCTTACTTTGTCTTCAAGTAAAAAGCTCCATTTCGGAGAACCTGTTATTATTATTCTAACCATACTATAAAAGGGTGTACAATTTCTGGGTCTTTATAAACTTTTTGTGGTGCTTCGCAGTTTAGGCGCTTGCTGAAGGCCTGTTGCCTAGGCTACAAACGGGGGACGTGTTCCCCACCCTGCGCCTAGGGGAAAGTCCCCGGACCTCTGGCAGAAAGTGCCACGCGCGCATGTGCGTTTGGCCGCTGTCGTAGCTCTTGTATTCCCCGCCAAGAAGCACCTCTACGCTGGTGGAAGCGCTGAGCGGAAGGAGCGCGGCGAGGCCGACCTTAGTCAAGAAAATAGTTACGCAGGCAGTGTGCACGAGGCGCACTAACTGAACGGGGCTCATTCTCAGCGCGTCTGTATTTTTCAGCTGTAACCTGCAATTGAGTTTGAGTCAATCTAGTCAATCTATGCTAGGCCAAAGGAAAACAAAAAGAGGCAAAAAAAGAAAGGCTCTGCTCTGAAGGCATTTGCAATCCAAAGAAGGAAATTCATATTACCTGATAAATAGGAAACATTTTTTAAAGGGGAAGGCACTGAAATTAACGGTTTGGGGAAGGTTAAATCAACCAAGTAAAGGCTGCAGAAAGGTCAAGGAGAATTAGAACTGAGAAGAGGCCATTGGATTTGGCAACTGGGAAATCACTAGTAACTTTGGAGAAAGCATTTCAGTGGAATGATAAGGTTAGAAGCCAAATTGTAGTCCACAAGTATAAAAATATAGTAGTTCTTTTTGTGGTGGTAAAGAACCGGAAATTGAGAGGGATGCTCATCAATTCGGGAATGGCTGAACAAGTTGTAGTATATGAATGTAGTGGAATACTTACTATTATGCTACAAGAAATGATGAGCAAGCGGACTTCAGAAAAACCTGGAAAGACTAGTGTGGACTGATGCTGAGTGAAGTGAACAGAACCAGGAGAACACTGTACACAGTGACAGCAACATTGTGTGATGACCAATTTTGTTAGACTTAGCTCTTCTGAGCAATGCAATGATCTAAGACAATTCCAAAAGATTCAGGATGGAAAATTCTATCTGCTTCTAGAGAAAGAACTATGGAGTCTAAATGCAGATCGAAGCATAGGATTTTCTCTTTTTTTGTTGTTGTTTTTTGTTTTTTTCTTTCTCATGGTTTTCCCCTTTTATCCTGATTCCTCTTTCACGACATAACTAATGTGCAAATATGTTTAATATAATCATACATGTATAACGTATATCAGATTACTTGCCATCTTGGAGAAAGAGGAGTGGAGGGAGGGGGGGAATTTAGAACTCACAATCTCATAAAAGCAAATGTCGAAAACTAAAAATAAAAAATTAAAATGGGGGGGAGGAGCCAGACTGTAAGGGGTTAAGAAGAGAGGAAGACAGAGTGGAAGCATCTATATTGTAGATGCTAGGAAGGGCAGAAGAGATACAGGAAGACAGCAGTGATAGAAGGATCAAGTGAGAATTTTTTCAGCATAGGGGAGACATGGGCATGTTTGTAGGCTGTAGGAAATGAATCAGGTAGTTAGGTGGCCTGGTGGATAGAGTGTTGGGTCTGGAAGTATAGAAGACTTATCTTCCCGAGTTCAAATCCAGCCTCACACTTACTAGCTGTGGGACTCTGGGCAAAGCACTTCACCCTGTTTGCCTCAGTTTCCTCATCTGTAAAATGAGCTGGAAAAGGAAGTGGCAAACCACTCTAGTATCTCTGCTAAGAAAACCCCAAATGGGGACATGAAGACTCAGGCAGAGTAGGAATGACTGAACAACAAAAGGGAATGAGTCAGTAGACAGGGAAAGATTGAAAATAAGTGAAAGAGTCAGGAAGACAGAGGGGACAATCCATGGGAGGAGCCAGTATAGAATAGGATCACTTGAACAGGTAGATGGCTTAGCCTTGGTAAGGAGAAAGCTACTTCTTCATGTGAAACAGAGATGAAGGAGGACAGAGTGGCAGAAGGCACCTGAGTGATAGGAGATGAGGAAGAAGGGAGAAAGAATTCATATCAAATGGCCTCATTTTTTTTCTGTAATATATGAGGCAAAGTTCTCAACTGGAGGGGGGGGAAGGGAAGGGAAACACGGGAGGTTTGAGGCAGGATGAAAAGGTTTGGAAGCACTGTTATGGAGAGTGGGATATTGAATTCATGAGGGAGGTACAGTAGGATTGTCTTGCAGTAGTGACAGCCTAGATGAGGTTGTGTGTCATAAATCTGCAGTGGCCCCAGTCAGAATGTCATGTGATTTTTCTCTACCTTCTTTCAGCAGCACGTTTGTAGGCACAAAGGCAACAAAGGGTGGCAGTGACCCAAGGCTTGTCTGGGTGTAATGAGCAATATGATAAAGGGGCCAGAGATTCAAGAGAACAGGGCAGTGTAAAGCTGAATAGGTTCATCAGCGAGTTAAGATGGGGAGACCAGGAGAGAGAGGCTGGTGCGGGGGAGATGACCTGGGACAGAATTGAGAGTTCAAGGGATTGTCAGTTACAGGGAGGGTGAAGAGTAGGGTTATCTAAGGGACAGCCCAGAGAGAGGTGAAAAGCCAACAGATTATAGTTAGATAAGGGGATTCAGAATTCTTGAACATGGAGGTGGTGGGTGGTACTTTTGCCAATGATGACAAGATCAGAAGTATGACTATCTTTGTTTGTGGCTGAGGTTGGATGGAGGAATGGGTCAATTGAAGTGGGCAGGTTGAGGAACTGAGGTGGTTTGGGTATCTGAGGGAGAATCAATATGTATGTAAGAAGACCTCTAGTATGAGGACAGAATTTGAGGAGGAGAGTCAGTTAATAAATATTTTATCAAGTGCCCAGCCAGGCATTTTGTTAAGCACTGGGAATACAAAAAAGAGGCAAAACACAGCGTCCAACTTCAGGAAGGTCACAGAAGCTGGTAGGAACAACACAGAAGCTATATACAAGATACAAAGGAAATGATTGAGAGAAGGCACTAGAGTTAAGAGGGGTTGGGAAAGGCTTCCTGTAGAAGGTGGGATTTTAATTGGCTTTTCACCTCTTCCTCTGCTGTCCCTTACATAAATAAGGTTGATAGTTAGAGCTTAGGAAGGGAAGTGTTCTTGGCTTGGGGGATAGCCAGAGAAAATGTCCAGGGCAGAGAGGTGGAGTGTTTTGTTTGTGGAACAGCCAGGATGGAAGAGAATGTGGTGGGGAGTAATGTGTAAGAAGAGTGGTAAGGTAAGATGGGGCTAGATTATGAAGGCCTTTGAATGCCAAACACAGCATCCTGCAGGCAATAGGGAGTCACTGGAGTTTACTGAGTAGGTGAGAGATGTGGTTAGATCTGTGTTTTGGGAAAATCACTTTAGACAAAGTGGAGAATGGATAGGTGTGGGAAAAGAACAGGAGCTCGTTAGCAGGAGATTCTAGACAGGCTGTGCCTAAATTTAACAGTAATAGTTCAACTGTTCTGTTTTAAATAGGGTACTTTGAACTCTTATTCCATTTTCTTGTAATAAAAATATCATAAAGAGTTTGAGTTCCTAGGCTAGCCTACAGAAGCATAGAAGCACTATACTAATAGGAATGGAAGGCAATACCATTTCTTTTCAAAAAGCTTTTGGCCCAGTGCCCCACCCCAACCCAGCTCTGAAGCATCTTCAAATAACGCTCAGCCTAGATGGAGGAATGCAATTTAATGGAAAAAACTTTTGAAGGCTGTGCCTCCCTTCTCACCTGTCCCACTGACATAAAAAAGAAAGTAGTGGGGGAGCTCAGTCTTACTTGTCTTCATAGACAGGGAAAGGAGGCTGGAGAGAAGGTAGCTATGAGCACCAGAAAGCTGGGAGAGGTTACCTCCAGCAAGGGAAGAGATGAATGCAGAGCCTGGAGACACCGGAGCTCATCACTTGCCCTGTTTATCGCTAACCAAGTCTAAAGGAAGCTTATGCTCTGTCCTTTGACTACAGATTAAAGGGAAACTAAGGTGAGGTGGCTGAAAAGGAAGGCTGGGGATGGAATAAAGAGGGCAAGGAGGTTTTATTGGGGTGCTGCTAAAACCTGGCTGAGGGAAGGCAAGGAGAGTTATGTTATATCAGACTTGTATATTAGGAAAATTAATTGGATGGCATGTTGTAGATGGAAAGAGGCTGGTAGCAGGGGGGACCAGTTAGAATTCAAAGAAAGGGGAGAGAGGTCTAAACTAAGGTGGGTATTCTGGGAATGGTAGGTACATTGTAGCATACAGAATTGGAAAAGGCTTAGTTAAAGAAGGGGTAAGAGGGAGGAGGTTCCTTCTAATATGGAGAATGGAGCTGGGTGGTTCTAGTAATGAAGAAGCTAGAAACGAGAACCAGTTTTCAGGACGGCTCCTGAATTTCATCCCTCCCCTCCATCCCTTGTGGCTCCTTGTCTCTGGGCACTGCAAGACCTACTCACTCTGAATCGGCAGTGACAGGAAGGCAAGGTAGATACACTTATAAAGAGGCTTGGGCCATAGTGCCCTGGGTCAATAGATCTGAAATCGCCTGCCTTTAAGTCAACATGGAATTACCTTCCCTCAATATTCCACAGAAGCAATTAGGTCAAACTGAAGAGAAGAAAGGGAGTGAGAGCACGAGATATTTAATCTGACTCCCACAGCTGGGGAGGGGGGAGCATTTCCCCCATCTCTGCACTCCGGAAGGAAGCTCCTGTGGCTTTCGAAGCTGTGGCTGAGTAGTTGAGTTTCAGGGGACAGGGTGACTGAGGCAGGAACAGAGTGAACTTGGTCCTGAGGGAAAGACAGCTGGGGCTCTGAGCCCAAAGTCACCTGGCCACTGGAGACTGAGGAGCTGTGCCTGTTTCTCCTGGGAGGCTCATGCCCAGATATCTTTGGCATTAATGTATACGAAAGAATGCTTAAATGTTACAGCTGGTGGTGAGGTGGGGACAGGAGGGTGGATGGGTGTGACCAGGTTGGAGATGGGGGATAGTATGGCTGGAGGGGGAGGGAATGGCCATGAAGAGGGTGTGGTGATGGCCCAGTGACTACTGCTTTCAGGGTTCCCGGGCTTGCACTGTGCTTTTGGGCTGTGGGCTTTGCTGGGGGTGGTGACCCTGTTGCTGCTTTTGGCACTGGCTGAACACCTAGCCCGATGGACCAGAGAAAAGAACAAGGCTTTCCAGGAACAGGAAAGGTGAGTACTGTCAGTGAATGGCACCAGACAGAGGCCTTTCCCTCAGGCACCCCTAATTCTTCAGAAACGCCAGAGAGATGTTTTTGCACCATCAACTTTCTTGTCTTATTTGTTCACTCCAGAACATCACTCCTCACCCTTTATATTGCAGCCCCAAGAGGCCTATGGAAGAGGTACCACTTTATGGAAACCTGACATACCTGCAAACAGGTGAGGGGGAGGGAAGTCGGGTAAGGCAAAGGGGTTTGCAGAGCAAGTGAAAAAGGGATAGAGGGATTTAGGAACTCGTGAATGAGGGTCTTGTTCCATCCTGTCTCAGGGCGGCTACCACAGAAGCCAGGGCCCATCCTGCAGGAGCAATCAGCAGGAGACATCCCTCGAGTAAGTTTGACTTGGTGCACAGCAGGTGGGGAATCTAAGGACGAGGGGGTCTTGGGGTCCCCTTCACCTACCCTAACCTGCCTCTGTACCCCTAGGTTAGGGAGGAAGCTATGTGCTATGCCAGCCTGCAGCTGCAGCCCCCTCAAGGACGACCCCCAGGGCCCAGTGCCGGGCCACCCATCAAGTACTCAGAGGTAGTGCTGATGCTGGAGCCTGAGCAGTCTGCCCCCACACCCCGGCTCCCAGAGCCTGAACTCTACGCCTCTGTGGGCTCCCAGACCCGCCGAGCAGCCTTTCCTAATGAGGACTATGCCAACAGCCAGCCAGGAGATGGATGAGGGAAGACCCAGATCAAAGTATCAGATGCATCTTGGGGGGAGGGAAGACAGGAAAGAGGCCATCATCCACAGGAAGAAGACCTATCTTGACTTTACCTTTTGGCCCACAGTTGCTTTAATTTGAGTTATGACCACAGGAGATAACAGGGGAATGGCTTCTTTGGAGTACCGGAAACTAACCTCCAATAGATAGAAGCCTATGTGTCTATACTAGAAAGCAGGGCAAGCTTCCAGACTGGACATGAGACCAACTCCCCCCTCAAACTCCCCCTGCTTGGGTGGATATTGCTTTCATAGCCCCTCCCTCTGAGGTTAACCAATTCCGGCCCCAACTACACTTCTCTAGTTTCTTCAGAAATACAGGAAGTGGGGGTGGTGTTCTGGGGGGGTGGGGGTGGGCAAGCACACGTATCTGTGTGCATCTGAGAAGACATGAGTGCCTGGGAGCATCTATGCAAGAACAGGTATGTATACACAAGAGCACAAGAGAGCAAGCATAGATGTGAGAGCCATGTGAGTCAGGATGTTTGCCTGTATGTGTGAGCAAGTGTCATTCTGGCCAGGTACAAGCAAGATGGGGATGCCTGCAGCATTTATCTTCAGCCCCTAAGACAGGTTCCAAGAAACTGAAAGAACAGGGGTGGAGTCAGGGGCACAGTCCCCTCTCCTGCTATTTTGATTTTTTTAATCAAATAATCTCTCACTGTAAAAAAAGGATGCATGTTTCTCTTTTAAATTAAATATTTTCTAAAATATGAGGACATTTACATAAAAGTCTCCAGCCTTGGGAACAGACTACTTGGGGCCGGGGGCTCTGTATTCACCAGCAGTAGAAGGAAGGTGAGAGAGAGTTGTCTTATTGGCTTGAGCTCTCACCACAGCTTGGGGGAGAGTGGGTCCAGATTCATAATGGGGCAAACCTGGGTGGGGGAAGGATGGTCTCCTCCTTTAGGCAGGGGCTGGCAGGGGCAACAGGAACACAGGAGGTATGGGAAGAGTGAAGGCCCAGGGCAGGGGGGTGAGGTCCAGTGGGAGCGAGTGTGGGCATGAGCAGAGACCGGGGGCTCTGCCAGTTGGGGCTGTGCATCAGCAGGGCCTGCAAGGTTTGGCCCATCTGGCCCAGGCCATCAGACAGGAGATGCAGGTGGGAGACGGTGTCTTGGGCCAAGCTCTCGAGCAGCGCCTGCTGCTGCCTCGATGTTCGCAAGATCTGTACCAGAAGCTCCTGCATGTTCTGGAGGAGGTTCACCATCCCAGGGCCTGCAACAGTGCACCAGTGGGCAGTCAAGGCCTCCACCTGCCACCCCCATGACCAGGCCCCAAGCCCCAGAGAAGGATGGAAGGAGGGATGAAGCTTACCTTGCAGTCCTGATACATGGGTGGGCTCTTCTCTAGCTCCTTGAGGGACCAGATCTGGCCTGACCGGAATCTCTGGCACCAAGGCTGGAGGCTCTTCTGGGGTAGGAGGCAAAAAAACCGTGCTAAGCCCTGTCAGGCTCCATCTCCACATACTCCTCCACTGCAATGAGGATTCTGTCCCACCTCAGCTCTGTGAGACTGGTGGAGTCAGGACCCCCTTGTTCATCTATCTGCTGCAAGGCAGGGGCTGTTCTAAGCTCCCTTGAGGACAGAGAAGGGATCAATGGACAAAGCTAGCTGACTCTGTCATGGCAAGAAAGGCTCTAAAGAAGTAAGCACCTGAGATGAGAACTGGGACTGGGTTCTTAAGGAACTCGAGGGGAAGAGCCCCTGGAAAGTCCAGTGACCCAACCTTCTAGGACCCTTTCCTCATGCTATTGCTTTCTGCCAACAGATTCCCCCCACCCCAACTCCAAGTTCTCACTTCCACCCCTCAGGGGGTTTTCTTCCTCATGTTCCCATCTCCTCTCTGTCTGCAATACCCTCATTCCTCTGGAGACCCCTCTCTGCTCCCTCCTCATGCCCTCCCTGCTGGGGTTGTGTCCTTCCCTACCCAGGATGGCCTTAGAGGCCCCATGTCACCTAAGAAAAATGAAACTCATCAGCCTCACCTGGAATCTGAGAGGGAGCAGGGCTGGCCTGCTTCTCCTCAGGAGAAGGAGGACAGACACATTCAGCTTTACCTAGTGACCCTAACGTTGACCCCGTCCTCCGCGGATCTCCTAACCTAACCTCCTCATCTGGTTTCCCCACATGCTAGAGTTAGGGAAGGACTAGTCAGTTGGTCCCACAGTGTATAATCCAATCAAGAAGGGGAAGCATGCCAAAGAGGGCACATTTTGTAAAATGTACATACTGAAATCCCAGAAAAGTATGCTTTCTGTGGCACATGGGCATTGAGTCTGTGCTAAGTCATGTGTCCTCCAGGGAAGGTAGGGAGCCTGGGGGACTGAGCTTCCTCTAAAGCTCAGCTCAGGTGCCTGTGACTCCTGCTCCTTCTCTGTGAAACCTTCCCTGATCCCCACCAGCTTCCAGCTGTCTTGTCCTCAAATTATGTTGTTTCCTCCCAGAAGAACAGAAGTTCCTTCAGGGCAGAGACCATTTCATTTCTGTCTTTGAATCTCCAGCAACCAGCTCAGTGCCAAGGACATAGTAAGAACTTAATAAGATAACCTGGGCATCTGATGGAGCCCAACCCTGCCTTGGGCACACAAACGCTTGTCTCAGTTCTGCTCTCCCACCAAGTCCCATAGGCCTCAGCCTCTCTCAGCTTTTTCCACATGGCACCTGGGAATACTCACGGGTGGACTCTTTCTTGGCACAAAGTCGTGGTCCTGTTTCAAGGTTTGTGTCAGAACCTGAGCAGTTGGGAGAGAAGAGTGTCAGCCTAAGGCTAGGACACCTTGCTCTCCACCAATTCCAGAAACTCTGCATCATTCCCAAGATTGCATCGTGAGCTGTGTTTTATTTTTGTCTTTGAATCCTCAATGGAAAGCCAGCGTCTGGCTTACACAGTACACAGCCAGCACTTAGTAGATGACTGTGGATCAAATGTGCCTCCCCTTCTCCATTCCCCACCTACCTATTCACCAAGTAGCTTAGCTCTGGTGGGAACCTCCAGCTAAGCACAGCACTTCCCAGGCAGGAGCTTCACCAGATCTGGGGAGGGAATGACTAGGAATGTCAGGAGTGTAAGGGAAGGACCTGCAACCCTTCTCCTTTTCCTGCTAGTCCTGGAAGTTCCATAAAGAAACCTTAGGTAGGAAGCCAAAACATGGAGCCTCTGGGTTCTGATGAGTCTCTCCATCACCAGGGGTATCCCCTTACCTGGCAGGCGACGCTCTCCAAAAACTGGCCTTCCTGCAGCCTTCCACAGTCTCTTCATGGTGCGGTAGTGGGGCGGGGGCTGAGAGGAGGGACCTCCTGCCTGGCGGCTGGTCTCCCACTCTGAATAGAAGGCTTGCTTCAGTGCTTTCCACTTGGATCGGCACTGAGCCACACTTCGACCGTAGCCTGATGCCCCCAGCCCTTGGGAGATGGACTGCCACAAGGCCTCATTAGGCCTTGAAGTGGAGGCCATGAGCAACGTGACCTCCCCAGAGTCCTGGATCAGGGTCAGGAGGCAGCTGATCTCCTGTTGGGTCCAGGCCCGGCCCCTGGGCATCATTCAGGCTTCTCTCTCTATACTGGGCACCAAGACCCCAGGAAAGGAGAGACTTGGGGGAGGGGGCTGTCACAGATGGCCTATGGGATACAGATAAAAACAAAAAGACTGAGGTAGGCTGCTTGAGACAAATGGAATAAGAGAAGGGATTTGGGGTACTAGAAAGAAAAGAGGTCTGACATGAGGTGTATTCATTGACTGACATGTGGGAGGGTTCAAGGGATCTGGTGGGAAGGAAATGAAGTACCAGACGGGTCAAGGATCTTGTAGCTGTTCAGGAACAATGCTAGTTTGGTGAGATGGTTTGTCCAAAAGATATGAATGGACACCATAGGCTGGTTATCAGTCTATGTGCGAGAGGAGTGAGGTGTGATACCTGGGGAGCAGGAGCACAGTCCAGCTAGGGATTTCCGGTAGAGAACTGAAGATGGGGAGTCCCAAGAGGGAAATTCAGGATGCCTGGGGACAGAGCTGCAAAGTGTGTGTGGGGATCTCCAGCAAGGGTGGGCCTCTAGGATTGGGAATAGTTGAGGATAAGAAATGTCACCTTGTCTGGGCTGAAGACCTAATCCTCCCAGAAGTGTGAATGGTCACCAAAGAGTAGGTAATCAGATATCAGGCTGTGCACGTGAATGGGGACCATTGGGATAACTGGAGGAGGGCACCCAGCCCGTCCAAAGGTGAATCTCCAGGCATTGGCGGGGATGAGGGAGGGTTTATAGGGAAGGGGACATAGTTCAGGGAGCTTGGGGGTAGAACTGGAAAGTGGGAGTAAAGATAACCAAGAATGGATGCAGAGTGTCAACCTACCTGGGGCAGCAGCTTCTGGGGAGGGACCTAGGTAGGGGATTGCTTTGGGGGAACTGGCATCTGTAGGGTATGTAGGTAGGATTGGACAGGATCTGGAGGAGAGACCAGGGACGGGGTAGATGTCAGCATGCTTGGGGCTGGAGAATGTACTGAGTGTGAGTCCTTAAAGGAAGGAGAACAGGTGGGGATGGGAGTGTCAACATGTCTGAGTATGTGCAGTGTAAATAGGGGGAAGGTCAAGGGGAGACAGACTGTGTGATTATGGACTGGGTGGGTGCAGGGTGTGGAGAGTATCTGCATTCCTGAGGCTCAAGCTGTGGAGTGTGTGACTGTGGGGGGAGTTGGGGTCGGGAGGAAAGGCAGGGAAAGGAAGTGGGAATGTGAAGAGTCTAGGGAAGAGGTCAAGCCTAGGAATGTGCACTGTGTGTAAAGAAGTGTTAGGAGAGTCTGGAAGAGGGGTAAGCCTGGAGATGTTCACTGAGTGTGGGGTGGGGGTGGAGGGAGGCTAGGAAGGGGGAGGGGAAGGTCTAGGGAAAGAGAGTTGGGGATGTGCTGCATGTGAGGAAGAAGGCAGGCCTTGGGACGAACTAGGTCTGGGGGAGGGGTCAAGGCTGGGGATGTGCTTTGTGTGCATGTGGGGTGGCGGAAGGAGGCACGGATGGGGGGAGGGTCTGGGGGAGGGGCCAGGGCTCGGGACGTGCAGGGTCCGGGGGAGGGGTCCGGGGATGTGCATCGTGTGGGTGGGGGGGGAGGGTCGGCATGCCAGGGCCCGGACGTGCAGGGTGCGGGGGGGGGGGAGGGGCGCCCCGGGCAGGGGCAGCCTGGGATGGGTGGGGCCGCCTCCAGCTCAGGTTGGGTCGGTACCTGCAGGAGTGTGGGAAGGAGGACCCGCGCCCTCCCCGCAGCAGCAGCCCAACCCCGCTCGGCCCGGGCTCCTGCCAAAAACCTAGCCCCTTTCCTCAGCCTCCCTATCTTTAGGGCGAATGCCAAGCCCAGCCCCGTCTTCGCGCACAAGCCCCCCGAAACAACACTGCGCATGTGTGACCTCCCCACACCCTCATCCCGCACCATTGACACAACGGGCCCTTACATCCGGGAGAATGGAGCCCTGGAAAACCTTCCTCTCGAGGCATTCTGGGAAGTGAAGTCTGGAAAAGCCTTCCGCCCTCTGCATTCTGGGAAATGGAGTCCTGGACTCGTGTCGGGCCCTCTGAAAACCGCTGAGGCCTGTGTCTCCTTTCCCCTGTGTTCATCTGGTGAAACCGTGGTGACGTCTGGTCGGGGATGATTTGGGGATTCCTGTGGCCCTAACAACTGCGCTTCATTTCATTTCTGAGAGCCTGGGATTCCCCAGGGAATACCCTTTTTCTTTAAAATTTGCGTTAAGCCGTGGTAAATAAGATAATAGGAGCAAAGGACCATCGATTTAGAGCTGGAAGAAGTCTTAAGAGGCCATCTAGTCCAACCCGATTTAAAAACAAAAAAACTGCATTTTTTTTCTTTCTTTTTTTTGGGGGGGTGGGCAATGGGGGTTAAGTGACTTGCCCAGGGTCACACAGCTAGTGTGTTATGTGTCTGAGGTCATATTTGAACTCAGGTCTGCATGAATCCAGGGCCAGTGCTCTATCCACTGTGCCACCTAGCTGCGCCAAAACTACCTATTTTTAACAAAAAAATTTTGAATTTTGAATTCTCTCTCCCATCCCTTCTCCACCCACTGTGAAGGCCGGAAATGTGATATGAGTTATACATGTGAAATCATGCAAAACATATCCATATTAGCCAGGTTACAAAAAAAAATGCAAAAAGAAGGTTTTTGTTTGTTCTAAAGTAAAAGAATCAAGTGAGGCTCAGCTGAAGCAAATGATTTACCCAAAGTACACAGAAAGTAACCAGCACATGCAGGATTCCATCCCAGGGATTTTGGCTCCAAATCCTGCACTCTTTGCATTACAACTCCCTGATACTGTCTCACTGATTTACATTATTACATCATTTCAGAGACACTTGAATCTAAATTCTAATTTTGATCTTCAAGTAGCCGAAACTGCCTGCTGAAACCTGAGCCTTAAAAATGTCTCTGCCCTTAAGATCAGAGATACTGGAACAGGTGTTAAATGCTCCTTGCCACAACCCTTGGGTGGTCCAGAGGTCTGGGCCAACTGGCTTATCTTTCTTCCTGTCTCCCTCAAGTGAAAAACCTTGTAGTCATCATGGCAGCAGCTGGCCTTCCAATCATCACGTCCTGCAATATCTCTCCTATCTCTCCTCATTCTGCTACCACAGGACTATTGTAGCCTGGTAACTTGTGTCTCTACCTCCAGTGTCTTCCCTCCTTCCCTTCCATTCCCATTGCACTTGTCCATCCTTCCTTCCTTCCTTCCTTCCTTCCTTCCTTCCTTCCTTCCTTCCTTCCTTCCTTCCTTCCTTCCTTTCTTCTTTTCTTCCCTCCTCCCTCCCTACCTTCTTTCCTTCTTCCTTTCCTCCTTCCTTCTTCCTCCTTTTTCTCTCTTCACATCTATACCATTGTAACAATTCCTTACACATAACCTCTCTCTCCTCTTTCCTAGCTACTTTCTCCTTCTCTAGGGTCCCCAACAAATTCTGAGGATGAAAATTACAAAACAGTTCTTACTGAATCCACTCTGAATTCATACTCTCTGCCCTCAATATGAATCTTCCGTGCTCAGAAATCATTTTCTGAATCATTTTAGTTCCCTAAAGTGTCAGAAATGTTCTTCATACTCTGTAACCTTTCAGTTCCACTCCCACACCTCAATCTCAGCAGATGAACTAAACTCCTATTTTACTGAGAAGCCCAAAGTTATTCAAGATTATATTTACTGAGAAGACCATATTCACCTTTAGCTACCCTCTTCCCCAGTCCTATCTCCACTCAGTTCTTCTTCCTTCCCATAAGATGCCAAGGAAGAGGCTTCTCACTTTACCAGAGCTTATTCATGCCCTTTATCTATACCTTCCAACCCCCTCCAGAAATTTTCTTTCTAAAATATGGTGTTCCTTATGCCTAAAGGGCTATAAAAATGTGCATATCCTTTGACCCAGCAATAGCACTTTCAGGGCTGTATCCCAAAGAGATCATAAAAATGGGGAAAGGACCCACACATACAAAAATATTTACGGTAGCCCTTTCTGTGGTGGCAAAGAATTGGAAATTTAGGGGATGCTCATCAATTGGGGAATGGCTGAACAAGTTGTGGTATGTGAATGTAATGGAATACTATTGTGCTATAAGAAATGATGAGCAGGCCGACTCAGAAAAACCTGGAAAGACTTGTATGAACTGATGGTTGAGTGAAGTGAGCAGAACCAGGAGAACGTTGTACACGGTAACAGCCACATTGTGCAATGACTAACTCTGACAGACTTAGCTCTTCTCAGCAATGCAAGGATCTAAGACATCTCCAAAGGCCTCATGATGGGAAATGCTATCCACATCCAAAGAAAGAACTATGGAGTTGGAATGCAAATCGAAGTATACTAGTTGCTCTTTTTTTTCTTCTGTTTTGTTTTGTTTCTTTTTTCTTATAGTTCTTCCTATTGATTCTAATTCTTCTTTACAACATGACTAACATGAAAATATGTTTAATAGGAATGTATATGTAGAGCCTATATCAGATTGCACACTGTCTTGGGGAGGGAGGGGGAGAAAATTTAAAATTCAAAAGCTTATGGAAGTGACTGTTGAAAACTAAAAATAAATAAATTAATAAAAAAAATATGGTGTTCCAAACCAAATATGATTGGTCAGCATTTTGTAATACCTGTAAATGTAGTCTGATCAGAGCATAGGATAGCACTATTTCAATATTCTAAATATTCTGGGGTCTTGTTGATGTGAATATTCTTTCCAATGATGCAGATTACAGCCCTTTACTGTTTGCTCAACCTGTGTATGTCTTCCATACCTTTATCACAGAGGGTCCATTCAAAATTCTGATGCCTTCTCCTTGTATTCTCTTGTGAATATAACACTGGAGCATGGTTATCCTTTGCTCTGATTATGTGACTGACCAATCTTTTTGATCAAATATTTCTTTAATGACATCATTTATACTGCTTCTACATAATTCCTAGTGTTACAGTCTGCTCATAATCACCATTCAGCTTTCCATTGCCCTTTGAGTGTTTTTAAACTTTAATTCTTTAGAGACTATAATATTCTATGACTCGAAGCCATACAATTCCACTACAGGAATATTAGTAACTAGGTGGCACAGTAGATAGAGCTCTGGGCCTGAAATCTAGAGGATCTGAGTTCAAATTTGGCTTTAGGCACTTACTAGCTGTGTGTTCCTGGGCAAGTCACTTAACTTCTGTCTGGCCTCAGTTTCCTCAATTGTAAAATGGGGATAATAAGAGCACTTACCTCCCAGGGCTGTTGTGAGGATCAAATTAGATAGTATTTGTAATCAATTAGCTCAGTGACTGATGCAGAGTAGGCACTTAATAAATGCTTATTTCTTTCCCTTCTTCCTTGGTGTTAAAAGGATGGGTTAACATTTGATAATTCTGGATCATCAGAAGAGCTTTGTAATTTCCCAAAAGCAATCCAGCCTGCTTTCTTCCTCCTGTACTGTGTAAATATGTATACATGTACAGATGTGTGTATATACAGATATATGTATATATGGAAATTACAATTATATATGTGTGTGTACACATACACTTATTTACTTTATAGGCTATCCCTCTATAAACATGTGAACTACTTATAGTTATCAAATCAAATCAATTTTTCTAAAAACAAGACACCTTGAGTTTTTAAGCCCATATACAAGTCAATAGTGTGACATGATGGCCAAAAGACTAACACAATTGAGAGCTAAAGCTTCTAGGAACAAGGAGACAATAATCCACTATTGCAACTCAAAATCAAGACCTCTTTTGTCCTGGCAACTATGCAGCCCAAGAGCATTATATCTTTTTTTGGCTTCCACATCGCAATATATTAGGCTTGCAGTCAACTAAAACTCCTGGATCTTTTCCAAGTTGTTATCTAACCAGTCCATTTTTACCTTGTACTTGTGGACTTAAAAAAAATAAACAATTGACTTGACACTTAACTAGCTGTGTGACCCTGAGCAAGTCACTTAACCCCAATTACCTAAAAAAAAAAAATTGGTTCAGTTTAAGGGGCAGCTAGGTGGCGCGGTGGATAGAGCACCGGACCTGAGTTCAAATCCGGACTCAGACCAAACACTTGACACTAGCTGTGTGACCCTTGGCAAATCACTTAACCCCAATTGCCTAATAAACAAACAAACAAATAAATAAATAAATAAACAAACAAACAAACACATAAATAAATAAATAAAGATAAACCACTGAAACGCTTTGCTTCACGCTGACACTGGCAGGACAACTGTTTCATTTGTTAGCAACACCAGTAGGTAGAGCTCAAAACTGCTACTCAAGGTGTTATGTCTCAATGAGCCACCAGGGGGCACTCTAGGCTCAAGCAGCCTCAGCTCGATTATTAGGCATGTGCCAACCGTTCAGGTGAGTTAGTACCTGATCAAACCACTAGCTGGTGCTCATAGCTTGAATTATACTACCTCCCTCTCGGTGTTACATGAAACAGCAGTTTTTGCCAGCTTGGGCTTTCCCCAGTGCTTTCCTTGTCTATCTTTCTAGGATAGCTC